GCATAGTAGTAATTATGACAAGGCAGCCAGAATGTCATGTGGGGAAAGAATTCATGCGAAATGTTTTCCTTTAAGGGTGCAGGCTGCATATTAAGCTTGGAGGTCTTTCCAATGTCATTTGGGAGGACTCACTGGAAGTCCCTAGATTTTCCTGAAACTTCACGAGTAGTTAACACCCATAAATATCTATTCTGGGCAGAGTGGAGAAAGTCACAAAGACTTGAAAGTGTCAGGGATTATGTTACATGGCAACTTCCAATGTAATAACCTAGCAGTATGGCAGCACCACTAGGCATTACTGTTAGAGAGTGAGTCAGACCCTGCTTGGAATTGGTCACTTCAGCAATAACTCAATTTACCAAGCTTAGTTCTCTTTGGTCCTTCTGCCCTTTTTACCCTGGTCCTCTTGCGTAATTTTCACAGCTTCTTGTGAGGCTGACAAACTTCATTCATTTTGAACATCACTTCCAGGTTTTAGTAGAGGTGGGTGGGCTATTTTGGAATATTCAGTTACGTATTTCTGAGTTTACTTTCCTAAGAGTAAACACTTAGTTCAGGACCAGATCTCAGAGTTTTATGCTATTTAAGAAAGCGTGAATTTCTCTGTATCTAAAGGAAGGCAAGTGTGTAATCAGTAGGATGGTGATAACACTGACTTTCAGCTGAGATTTCATTTTGGGAAAGGAGTGCATTTGAAGACTGACTTGTCCAAGGTCAGTGGAGGTCAATACACCGAGATTCTTAAGAGAGAAGCATTTGTCTGTTAAGCTCAGAGTATTTATTATGAATAATTTCCTTTAATCATAGTTACATGTAAAAACTTTGCAGTAAGGAAGAAGACAGGATTCTCATTTATTTGAGAAACAATATTACAGACGATTCCCTGAAGAGTTTCTTGCTTCAAAACGGCTCTACATGGTGCTAAGCTCAACATCATCATATTCAGGCTCATCTTGTCTCAGGACCAATGAGGATTCTTTCTCTTTCGTGCTAGAGTTGACAGCTTCTCTAGGAGACTGCAGAGAGATGCCTGAAACAGCAAGGACAATCTGCCTTTAGTGGCGATGAAAAGATAGGACATAGTCCTTGGTTGGAAGGAGACTAGTGCAAAGTGGCTACAAAATACTTGGGGAGATCCAACATTTGTCTAAAAGGCTACATGGAGCTACTTCATACTGACTCAGCTATTCCATGCAATGTTTTGTCTTGACCTTGACAGTTGGAAAGGAGGTGGACCAATAATGGCAAGGAGTAGAAAAGAGACATGTGTGCCTCTTCCGCACCAGGCTGGTCTGACTTCTTAAGGAGTGGAGGCAGGACATGACCTCTTTAGAGCACCTCAGCTGACCTCTCCTCAGCACCCCAACAAGAGATCAAGTTTGATCTACAAGTTTCATGAGAACAACTTGGGTCTTCTGTCAGTTGTCAAATGGGGGCAGCTCAACCAAATCCCACAGCCTCCTGCTCCCCAGGGACCACATGCTCACATATAAGCAGAAAGTCTAGTCCTAGGGGATGAGGATCTTCATTTGGCAATTGAAACAGTGAGAGAAAAGTGCATCTTGGTTTCCTTTTAATGCTGAGACTCTCCAATTAAGGTCACTACACATTCTGCATTAACAGTGGGC